TCCAAACCGTTCACCAACGCAGCTACCAGTATGGCATGAATCCAGGGAATGGGCAGCAACACAATAACAAGAATAAAATTTATGGGCCTGTGTCTCTCCAAGAGTTTAACAAGTGGGTTGACTAGATTGATCCAAAAGCTAAGGAACCAGAGGGAACTTAAAATGGTTCAAGGTTGATATCGTAATGAAGCATCCCGGGGGCAACAGTCTGACTGAGGGGCAGTGACACTGGGCTCCAATAATTTCCTCAAGACCCGGCTCAGCCACCATATTCAAAAGAGCAGGGGATCCTTGGTGAGGAATTTCTTTTCTTCAACGAGACAGTCATGATGACGTGTCCTGTTCTTACAGTGCATGCAGCAAGTTTCTCTCACCAGTGAGGTAGATCCACCTGTCCACATGGACCGCCGTCACCAGGGTAGATGATGCAGAACCTGAGGTCCGGGTCAGTGCCAACAAGAGGCAGGGACGGTGTAGATGTTGGTGTGGGCCATGGAAAGTGAAGGACTGGGACATGAGAACATAAGACCTGGGTTACATTTCTATTAGTTAAGGAAAAATGGTGTGCCTGGACCAGCATCAGCCCAGGTGCAGAATCCTCTCTGATCCAAGTGTGTCGAATGTCGCCTGGGATACACTTTTTAACCTCCTCTAGCAGAGATTAGTTCAACAAGCTTGCTCATGTTCTGCAGCAGGCAGACTCACTTTCAATCACCTCCGACAAGACCTGTTTCTACCTGAAGAACTCCACAAATGTTTGTTTGTCAGTCTTCCAGCAGTTGGAACTGTTGCTTGGTGAGCTTCAAGAACAAGTTATAAGCGCTCAAGAGCCACCAGACTTAACAAAGGCATAGTCTCCGACATTGATCCTCAGAGGGCAACACATCTAATGTACACAGTGAAGATCCTATAAATAAGTTGGGAGCTAGGTTGAAACAGGCCACTTGTTAAGTCAGGCAATTTTCTCAAAAAGAAAGATTTGTCTGGTTCTTCCTCATTAAATTTGGGAACACTGTTTAGAGATTGTTTGTCTACACTGAATGTTGAAATGTAATACTACCTTGAGCCAAACCTCGTTGTTGAGTTTCCAGCTCCTCAGTCTCTTGAATTCAACATGAATGAATTGCTTGGTATAACAATTTCCTCTGAATTGCCATTGGGTGGGCTGTGATTTCATTGTCAATAAGTTAATTGAGACAGCCTCTTCTAACCTAAGCCCTTATTCATGGAAGGCCTTCTACTTATAATAAATGGCAAGGATTGCCCTCTGCAGCAAGTAAGCCCCTTCAGTACTTCAGCTGAATGCCAGAACCAAAAAAAAAAAGCTTTCAGGTCGGTATGTTGAACTCAAGTCGAGTGGCGAAAAAAAAGTAGCCGTGGCGGCTAATGCTAGCTGGCTAATTAATAATATCAAAAATGCAATCGCTGCAAACACATGAGGATTAACCAAATACCTGGTACAAGATAATTTAACTCACCGGTAACCAATAATAACGAAGAACAATATAAATAGGCCTGACAACGCATCCAAAATAACGGCGATGAAACAACACCTGGCGAGTAACAACACTTGATATGACACAACAATGGTGGTTAGCTCCCGGACACAGGCCCCCCACTTGTCGCGATCCCACTACCCTTTATACCTGGGGAGTGAAACCTACCCCAAGTTATTATCAAATAAAGGAACAAATAGGGAAAACGGCAATAATTATCCCCACAAAAACCTACTCAACTAAATGTACTTGAATAAGTATGAACAAGTTGAAATAAGTGAATCACAAAAGGGAAGATAATTAATTAATTCAATTTATGTTCTAAAGGGAGTAATGACTAGCAAACAAGAATTTAAGGGAATAAGTGATTGTGTATTAAAATAAGAGTGATGCCGGAAGGGTGAAAATATACCTTAAGGAGTTAGACCAAACGAATATTACTTAACATAACTATATTACATAGACATACAAAATATATATATACAACAATCCCTACAAAATAGTTATTTCCTACCAAACAGGAGATTCCTTACCACCAGGATCCCTTCCTAGGCCTAACTAAACGTGTCACTAATACCCCTAGGGCATTGCAGAAGACTGGACAAGGCACTAGACAAGGGTCAAGGCTAGAGAACAAATGGGCACGTCTACCATATGCCACGGTTTTTCGCTACTGGGGAAGTGTGCCCACGCCGTGGAGGAGCGCGTCTCATATCACGTGATCCAGGACATTTGCTAGATATTTTATATAATTAATTAATACTACTCTTGATTTGACTTAACAGAGTAACACAATGATGCATATTAATAACATACATAAATATACAATTAACCTAAGTAACTAAGAACAATAATAATATAATAAGTACAATTAACAAGTTAATAGCTTGTGTGAAATGTAGGCGTGAACATATGCCTCACGCCATGCGAGTTCCCGAGCGCTCAGGCACGTGACAAGTGGAACTGAAAAATTCGCGAATCTTGTGCTGATCGGCAATTTTTTTGCATTTCACACGCTTAATTTTTCCACCTTTCGTTCTTTAAATGGCTAAATTTGCGTTGGGCCATCGCTTTCTTCTAGCGGAAGGTATCAGCTTTGGTCCGAGACTGAAATTTTTTTCTCCAATCTCTCCCCCCCACGACTACATGTCGTGACTTTTCTATCCTTCATGTCTGGTTTTGCCTTTAGCCCCCAGGAAGCCTTCCATCCTTTCCCCACCTTAACCTGAAAAAAAAATAAAATAAAAAAATAAAACAAAAATACCCATGAGGGTTGTTTTGCCAATATTTGAAGACAGCACGTTCATCATTGATGAGTACGTCGATTTCCTGGTTATTTTCATTAACCTAATCCTGGTGTTTTCTCTCGATCTGGCCGAGGGTCTCTAATGTTTTTGTAATGGCAGCGTTCAGAATACCCCTTTTGGCATTCGGATTTAGGTTATTTCTTGTTGGGTTGCTTATCAGCCCATTTTCGAACTACTCTTTGAAAGCATGTGCTACCGCTGGATCATCCAATCGCCTGGTCTTAAAACCTCTTCTGGAGGCTTGTTGCCTTCGCCGGCTTAGGGCGACGTGAAGGGGAGTTTGGCTTTGAAAAGCCAATGATCTGTGTCACATTGGTCTGAGCTACGCATGGCTCGGGTGTTGCCAAGAACTCTTGAACTTTTCGGCCTGCCTAAACAAGGCGTTGGTGAAAGTGAGTGTTCAACAATTTGCTGAGGAGAAGTAGGCTTTTTGGGATTACATTTGCCCACTCCTTTTCTCCCCATTGCTCCCTGTCATGAGTCTGCATCTCTTTCAACTCTGGCATTGAAGTCTCCTAGGAGCTGACACTCTGTCAAGGTCGGCATAAAAGGCCGCCTTGATGTCATCCTCTGCATCCAGTGTTGGGAAGTATGCACTAATGAATAAGGAATGACTACTGTAGACTAATTCAGTGGGACTCAAGAGCGTCATGAGGCGCTCGGTGACCCCAACAGGCATTTCAGTTAGCTTAAGTAGGATGGATTGGCGAATGGCATATCCAACTCCATAAATGCGGTTTCTCTCCACAGCAGGCTTACATTTCCAGAACAAGGTATAGCCGGACCCCTGTTCTGTGAGTCGACCTTCGTCTGGGAGTTGGGACTCACTGATGGCTGCTTTGTCGATGTTATACCGAGCCAGCTCTTTTGCTACAAAGGCGGCTCTTCTTTCAGGACGTGCATATTTGTGCCAGTATCCAGAAGGGTCCTGACATTCCATGCAGTAACCATAAAAGGTTGTATAATCTGATTTTGCTTTAATCTGTGATTATGTTTTCGACTGAATTAGGAGGACCTTACTGGTTACCCAGTCAATTTGTTTTTTTAGGCAGGCTATGTTTAGTACTCCTTTTCTAGCCCTCTCCCCATATGGGGAGAGCAGAGTGGCTCCTAGAAAGGGCTGCTCTGTCCCGTAGACAGGACTGGATTGCAATGTTGCCGAGATCCCAGTGTATAAAAAACCATCTTATCTGTGCCGCCCATGTGCAGAGTTGTGACTAGAGACTCCCGGCAGTTATCTCTGCCTGTCCCCGTCGCCACACACGCACATCATTGTGATTCACATATTAATGTTATTTAGAGTAAACGATGTTGGCTAACTTCGTGTTTTTTTTTAAATTACATTATATTAATAATTGATATTTATTGGGTCATAAAAGTCCTCCTGTCATAAGAGGAGACCATATTGAGACTCCAGCCCGTCCTCCTATCACCCCTAGATTACGTGAGTCCTAAAAAGAAAATAAATAAATAAATAAATAAATATGCATATATTGTTCAGACCTGTAGCACAAGCTGGGAATACCACCCTAATGTGCGGTAACACATTCTAAGTATAATTTGTGTTTTGCTCTACGTATTTATATCCTTGGTTATGTTGTAACTGCATAAGTAACACCTTAACCTTTTCCCATCCCTCTAGCCCCAAACACCTTCCTCATCCCCCCCCCCCCACACACCGACCCCCAGGTGAATGCTTCGGATTCACGAGTAGATACTCTCGGGGCTCACACCTCACAGAGAGGGTAGTTGACAACGCTGAGTACTAATAGGAAATGTCCCCAGCTAAAAACACACACGTACACACGTACGTACACACATACGTAGACACGTGTGTTCGCGTGTGCGCGTTCGCGTTTTGTGTACTTTTATTTATTCAGTCTTTGTAATTCACCATACACAGTCATCACCCTATACAACTGAAGTCTTCTCTGTATATATTCTTGTATCCATGTTCACAATACATGCAGGTGAGAACATATACAGGTATGGTTTTGGTGATGTTGACACCACATGTATATAACCCCTTATTAAGTACCTTCCTGTACTGTATATAACCCCTTATTAAGTACCTTCCTGTACTGTATATAACCCCTTATTAAGTACCTTCCTGTACTTATATTAATGACTCGCTGGCGGGCTCTTATGGCCAGTCGTATGAGAAGGAGACGGTCATTTCTCCTTGTATTTCCCACAGGAGCAATGACGCCGTACTGAAGGACGTATCACCTGTCAATGAGAGTGAGTGTTGGTGGATCTGTCCTGACGGAGGCAGTGCTTGCGGCGGACCTAACACTTACAGCATTTACAGCAGTGCTACTTGGATACCTCGCACATCCAAGTCTCTCCTGCTGGTGATGCTGTATCTGTTGTGTGCCCTGCTGAAGTAGGTCTTCCCTGTTGCTGTGACGGGATGGTGCCGTGATGGGATGGGATGGTGCCTTGACATGGGATGGTGCTGTGCCGGGGTGGTGGTGTGTCGGGGAGTCTCTCGGAGTATTTACCATCCTCAGTGTCTTATGATATGATGGTGATTGATCCCCTTAAGACTACATCCCTAACACATCTGCTGCGCCTGCTTCAGGGCATCACCACCTCGAAACTGGTATATGATAGATAGATAGATACAATTAATAGAAAGATATCACTGATAGCAGATGTGATTACCTGCAGGAGTTTGACGAAGAAAGTGAAGTGATTTTATTATTTGATCAGTCATCTCCAGGCAGGAAGAAAACTTATTGTATTAACATAGATTATAATCTTTGTTAATACAAATCTTATACACCTTATAAATAATTATTTATAAGGTGTATAAGAGTTTTTCTTGATTTATTGAACATACTCACGTATCTTGGCATATTTTACGGTACACTATTATTTACAACTATTAAATCTAGGTTCACATTATTCTACAAGAGTGAGTGAGTGAGTGATTGATTGAGTACTTTTTGTGGTAAATTGTAATGTAGTAGGCGAGGTGTGTGTGCGCGAGAGCGCGCGTTAGGCTCAAACTCTTTTATTCAGACAATCTATGGATTATTCTATACCACATTATTTTGGAAATTATATAAAAAGTAAAAATTTTCTAATCGCTCAAAGATTCGTGGGTAACTGTGACAAGAAAATGTCGGTTACTGTAACATAGATGAGTGACGTGTAGGTATGAGTGTTATAATGATCAGAATTTGAGTGTAATATTGATAGTTAATTTATTTGTATTGCCATTGGTAAAAAATGAAACTTGTGATTATAGTATGTTATTGATTATAGTTAATTAGTTTATATATATATATATATATATATATATATATATATATATATATATATATATATATATATATATATATATATATATATATATATATATACACACACACACATACAATAAAATCAGCCAATATTTTCCTTATTTATGTTATCCTCTTCATCACTTGTCAACTGTTCCTTGTTCCATTGTTGACAAGTTCTGGGCAGGTCTTTGGCAGGTAATTCGTCTGATAGTTTTCTGTGTTGATGACAGCTTTAACTTGAAGCTGTGACCATCCGTAAACTCCAGGTATGTACCTGACTCGTGATTCAAGATTCCAGGATTTTGCAAATTGAAATTTTCAATTTATTTATATCATAATTATTCAAACTATGAGTTCCTGACACACACACACACACACACACACACACACACACCCACAAAAACAAACACACACACACACACAACACACACACACACACACACACACACACACACACACACACACACACACACACACACGCACACACACACACACACACACACTTTTCTTGAACATAGGTTTCGTTGAACATGAAGCTTACACTCGTTGTGTTGCTTCCCCCAACACCCGGTGTGCAGCGATTCTCTCCACAGGCCATTTCAATGTTTATATACAAAGATAAATTTATATCTAATTATTTTTTGCCCCTGTTGCACAAGTGTACTACTAACCTTTCTAAGCGCTTGAAGACCTTCGTTGCTGAAGTGCAAAAATAACATTTTAACAACAACATTATAAACTCCGGCCGGCTCATGCGGATGTGCGCACAGCTTGAGTGCAAAACAAAACTTCAGGTTAAGCGCACAAAAGTGGCACCCTTACTCTGTCACCAAGTGAGTGGGTATGACATTAGGAAATGGCCCAGCTTGCAATGGCCGACATTTATTTATACCTTATTAATTCACCCAGTGTTTATATAGTACAATGAAAAATTTAAAGGCGTATAATTATGTACACTGTGACCGTGTCCAACCAGTTGATGTCACTCAGTTTCAGACAAGTCCGACTTTTGTGCATGAAAAGCAAAGGTAGTTAGTACACAGTCGGCGCTAAGGCCACAAGACACATGTACGACGTTTGGGTCTATGTACTCTCTCACGCCATAGTTTCGATGTATACCCTCTACCCCTACTCCTGACTCGATGGAAGTCGTAACCTTGGCTTCATACCAAACGGTCCCCCTTACTCTCCTGCCCCCCACTCATTCCCCCCACTCTCACTCCCCCCCTCTCACTCCCCTCTCCTCCCCTCCCCCACTCCTCCTCCCCTCTCACCCCCCACTCACTTTTACCCACCTCTCACTTCTCCCCTCTCACTTCCCCCCACTCTCACTTCCCCCCACTCTCACTTCCCCCCCCTCTCACTTCCCACCCACTCACTTCCCCCACTCTCCTTCCCCCCACTCTCCTTCCCCCCACTTTCACTCCCCCCTCTCCTCTCCCCACTCTCACTCCCCCACTCCTCCTCCCCCTCTCACTCCCCCTCTCTCCTTCCCCCATGCCTCTCCTTCCTCTCCTTCCACTCTCATTACCCCCACTCCTCCCCCCACTTCCCTCCCCCCTCTCCTCCCCTTCCTCTCCTCCCCCTTCCTCCTCCCCTTCCACTCTCCTCCCCCCTCCCCTCCCCCCCTCCCTCCCCCCCTCCCTCCTCCCCTCCCCTCCCCCTCCCCTCCCCCCTCCCCTCCCCCTCCCCTCCCCCTCCCCTGCCCCCCTCCCCTGCCCCCCCCCTCCCCCACCCCCTCCCTCCCCCTCCCCTCCCCCCTCCCCTCCCCAGTCCCCCCCAGTCCCCCTCCCCTCCTCCCCCAGTCCCCCTCCCCCAGTCCCCCTCCCCCCTCCCCTTTCCCCCCTCCCCTCCCCCCTCTCCTCCCCCCCTCTCCCTCCCCCCCACTCTCCCTCCCCCTCTCCTCCCCTCCTCTCTCCCCTCCTCCACTCCCCCCCCTCTCCCTCCCCCACTCTCCTCCCCCCTCTCACTCCCCCCACTCCTCCCCACTCCTCCCCCCTCTCCTCCCCCCCCTCTCACTCCCCCTCTCCTCCCCTCCTACCCCCTCCCCCCCTCCTCCCCCCCCTCCTCCCCCTCCTCCCCCACTCTCCTCCCCCCACTCCCTCCCCCCTCCTCCCTCCCCCCCTCTCCTCCCCCCCCTCTCCTCCCCACTCTCCTCCCCCACTCTCCTCCCCCCCTCTCCTCCCCCCTCTCCCTCCCCCCCCTCTCCTCCCCCCCCTCCTCCCCCCTCCCTCTGCTCCCCCCCCCACTCCTCCCCCCTCTCCTCTTCCCCTCTCCTCTTCCCCCTCCCTCTTTACCCTCTCCTCTCTCCCTCCTCACTTCCCCCTCTCTCACGCCCCCTCTCTCCTCCCCCTCCTCCCCTCCCCCACTCTCTCCTCCCCTCTCCTCCCCCCATCTCCTCCCCCCCTCTCCTCCCCCCACTCCTCCCCCCCACTCCTCCCCCCCACTCCTCCTCCCCACTCTCCTCCCCCCTCCTCCCCCCCCCTCTCCTCCCCTCTCCTCCCCACATTTCTCCTCCCCCACTCTCCTCCCCCCTCCCTCCCCCTCCCCCCCTCTCCTCCCCCCCCACTCTCCTCCCCCCCACTCCTCCCCTCCTCTCCTCCCCCCACTCTCCTCCCCCTCTCCTCCCCCCCTCTCCCTCCCCCTCTCTCCCCCCCTCCTCACTCCCCCCACTCTCCTGCCCCCACTCTCCTCCCCCACTCTCCTTCCCCCACTCCTTCCTCTCTGCCTTCCCCTCTCACTCCCCCCACTCTCACTCCCCACTCTCCTCCCCCACTCTCCTCCCCACTCCTCCCCCCACTCTCCCTCCCCCTCTCCTCCCCCACTCTCCTCCCCCCTCCTCCCCCCCCACTCTCCTCCCCCCCACTCTCCTCCCCCCCTCTCCTCCCCCCACTCTCCTCCCCCCTCTCACTCCCCCCCCACTCTCACTCCCCCCACTCTCACTCTCCCCACTCTCACTCTCCCCCACTCTCCTCTCCCTCTCACTCCCCCTCTCCCTCCCCTCTCTCCCTCCCCTCTCCTCCCCCCCTCTCCTCCCCCCCTCTCCTCCCCCCTCTCCTCCCCCCACTCCTCCTCCCCCCCCTCTCCTCCCCCCTCTCTCCTCCCCCCCCCCTCCTCATCATTCAGTGGTGCAATGTGGTAGCTCGAAGCTTCGTTGTATTGTACGAATTGCAGTTCATGATGTAATATTTGAGAGAATATATGCACGATACAGGTTTTTTTAGTGACTTCACAAAACTTTATTTACCATCACTATACTTAACATTACTATACAAGAGGGAGCGTTCGGTTTGCAGCCCTGACTACGACTTACCTCGAGCCAGGAGTAGCGGCAAAGGGTGCATCGAAACTATGGTGCGTGAGTGTACACAAGATTTTGTCGACAGCTAACTGTACATGCATGGCAGGGAGAGCGTCATTTGTTGTTTTTATTTTAAATATCTTATATAGTCTATTACAGGAGAAGTATTTTCATTATTTACTGTGTAGACCAAATATTATGAGCAGCAGTTTTATGGCTTCCTCTTTATTTTCGTGCATTTTAATATTAAAGTACAAATCCTGTCCCCTCCCCCCACCCCCCCCCACTCAATAGCATAGACTTGCACAAAAATTGAGTTAGTCTTCAAAATTGAAATACACATATAGGCCCCGACTAACAATAACAGGCCTAATATAGACACATATTTAGGTGTATAGCTTACATACAATATACAGATAGCTGCACAAGGACTTGTACAGACTGCACACTTTTGCACATTTATCCTTATAATTTATGATTCGATATCATAACAATACAGACCAGATAATCTGCAACTGTAAACAATGCATCATAGGCTTATACAGTATACAGATATCACTCTTACACGCACTTTCTATATTGGGCTTTACACAGTAGACCTATAACGTCACATGCATTCCTGGTGGATTAGATCTGTTCCTAGTTTTAATTGTTAATTTTTAATTCGACTTACCTGATACGAAATGAGCACTGCACTGATATTGATATTGAAACAGTTTATTTAGCCAGAAAAGTACAGATACAGAGTGGACAATAATAACAAAATTGACATGGCTGAGCCAAGTAACATTAGCATCATCTGGATTACTACTGTTAACATGTAACATGGAGTAGTAAATACAAGTACATATGGAAATGTTGCCACGATTACCACCACTTTTTTTTTGTTTACCTATACTGTACACGTATATTAAAAGTATATACCTATTTTACAATAGAGTTGATAAACATTAATCTGATAAGTGAGAGAAGCAGTACAACATGGGCTGT